GCGGACACCCAAATCCCTGCTGTGTGAGTCTCTGCTAATGCCAGATCCCCATAAGGGGGGCCGCAGGAACCCGCCCCTGGTCCTGTTTGGGGACCCACAGCAGCAGGAGCCGCCTGCACGGCTGGGCTCAGGGCTCCTTAGGCCCCCCCCCCTGCCCCACAGTGTGGGCAGCACCGCGGAGCCCTTGGAGGGCCATTTCCTTCTCTGGTGGGTGGGCCCGCAGGTGAGGGGCGTCCGCTGTGCTCTAGAGGGCTCATGGAGCCCCCAACACACACACACACACACACACACACACACACACACATGGGCTGGCCCGGGGCCATCTGGAGTCTGCAGAAGCCTTCTGGGCCTTTCCATGGACACACACGAGCCCCAGCAGCGAACTTCAGTTTGCCCAAACATCTGGGGGGTGTTTTTATTGAGCCCTTCTTTCTCTCCGCCTGTTGGTCCTGCCTTCCCTCCTCCCTTCCTTCCTTCCCTCCTCACTTCCTTCCTCTCTCCTCTTTTCTTCCTTCCTTTCTTCGTTTTCCTCTCTCTTTCTCTCCCTCCCTCCTCTCCTTCCCTCCCCACTCCCTTCGGTTCTGCGGCTCAGGCCCCTTTACATTGCCATTTAGGCGAGTTTCGTCCCCGTGTGGTGTCCGGGGCGTCCTCCCTCTGGCTGCTGCCCCTGAGGGACCCTGCTGGCCTCTGGGAGCACCACACGGAGCCCCTGAGGGACAGTCCGAGGGGGCCCCCGTAGAGCCCAGGCCTCACATTGAACCCCATTTATCTTTATTGAGTTTAGTAGGGTGAATTTGGTTAATAAAATCATAAAGGTTGCCCTGGCCCAGCTCAGTGGATTGAGCGCCGGCTGCAAACCAAAGTCTCGCAGGTTCGATTCCCAGTCAGGGCACATGCCTGGGTTGCAGGCCATGACCCCCAACAACTGCACATGGATGTTTCTCTGTCTCTCTCTCTCTCTTTCTCCCTCCCTTCCCTCTCTAAAAATAAAGAAATAAAACATTTTAAAACAAAAAAAATTATAAAGGTTGCAGGTGGACGAATCTGTGACACCGGGTTGGCCGGAAGGTCCCTTGGGCGTTTCCCGGACGGGGGCTCCGGCAGCGCTTGCTCGTCGTCGGAAACAGCTTTGTGAGACGCACCGTGCCAGCCGTCCTGTCCGCGTGCCTCTGAAACAACTGAAACTGGTGAATTTCTGTACAGCCCTTTTATATCGAAGAAGGAAGAGAGTAAGCACCATTTTCGGGATCTTATGCTTTATTTTTTCCAAGAAAGGTCAAAACACAAGTGAAACAAGAAAAGTCATGTACAGTGCGTGGAGAAGGCGCTGTGACCGATGGAACGTGTCAGAGGTGGTCTGTGAAGTTCCGTGCTGGACGTTTCTCGCTGGACGGTGCCCCACGGCCGGGTGGACCAGCTGCAGCTGATAGCGACCAAATCCAGTTGTTAATTGGGAGCAATCAGCGTCATGGCACGAGGGAGAGGGCCAACGCACTCAGAATACCCAACTCAACCACGCGTTACTGGTGAACATGGAAACTGTGTCTTTTATTTAAGGCAAACTCTGGAGAGATTTTTGGCCGAGCCAGCACCTCACCTGCACTTGGCAGCCTGTGTGCGCCGCCCAGAGTCAGGTCTCTTCCCTGCACCAGGTCGGCCCCCCACCCCTCCTCCCGCCCCAACCTCCGCGCTCCCTCCGGTCCCCTCCACGCTGTGGGCTCTCCACCCGTGTTTTGTTTGTTGGTTTGTTTCCTTTTTTGCCGAATCTCTCCACATTTCCCCCAGCGCACCACCCCCACCTCCGTGAGTGACTGGCGTGTCCCACCCAGCAGGCCCCTGTCTGGGGGGGCCCCAATCCCCGCTGTCACAAGGGGTGACAGCTCCTTCCCTCCTCGGGGCTGAGCACATTCCGCCGCGGGTGCGCACTGCAGCCCCTCCACCCACTCGGCTGCCGCCGGGCACCAGGTCTGGTCCAGTCTTGGCCACTAGGGTGAGCTCGCTGCAGTGAACACGGGGTGCTTACGTCCTTTCCCGTTAGGGTTCAGTTTGTTCAGATACATCCCAGAAGGGGGAAGCTGGGTCAGAAGGCAGTAGCGTTTTTATGTTTTGAGGAACCTCCATACTGTTCCCCACGGTGGCTGCGCCGTCCACATTCCCACCAGCAGTGCACCAGGGTGCCCTGCTCCCCGTCCCCACGAGGACTTGTTGTTTGTGGGTTTGTTGGTGGCGGCCATTCTGACAGGTGTGGGGTGACACCTCATTGAGGTTTTAATTTGCATCTCTCTGATGATTTGTGACGCTGAGCATCTTTTCAAATGTCTGTTGGCCTCTGCGTGTCCTGTTTGGGGAAGTGTCTGTTCAGGTCCTTTGCCCAGTTTATAATTGGAGTGTTGTTGTTTGGTGTTGAGTTGTGCGAGTTCTTTATGCATTTTGGATGTTAACCCCTTATCAGGAGTGTCACTGGGGAATGTGTTTTCATTTTGCTATGCAAACACGTTTTAGGGTCATTACTTTCTCTCTGGTTTCCCGTGCCCGAGGAGATACAGCAGAAGAAGCTGTATAAACGGTCGCAATAAACGGTCGAGAGGCTACTGCCTCTGGTTGTTTCTAGGGTTCCCATGGTTTTGAGATTTACATTGAAGTCTTTAATCCATGCTGAGTTTATTCTTGTAGATGGTGTAAGAAGGT